ATTTGCTAAAGTCACAAGATTAAGGGCTCCAATACAAGGTTTTTTTTTTAAAATTTTTAATTCCTTGTTCATTGTTAATAAATCTAACTTAATTTTTTTAACTTTTTAAATATAAATTTTAAATAAAAATTTAAAAATTATAAACAATAATTAAAAAAAATTTTACATAAAGTTGTTAAATATTTTTATTTAATAAAAAATGTTAATATTTTATCTATATAATATATTAAATTTGTATTTAAAATTCATGTTTAAAAAATAGATAAAAAAAGTAAAATTAATACTATTAAAAAAATTGAAAAGTAAATGAACGGAGCATTTTATTTTAGGAGCTGGTGTTCCGAAGTCGGACAATAATGGGCGTTTAACAACAGATTTTTGCGTAGGAGAACCGGCGTCTTTTACCCTCAACTAACTCGTAAACAATTTGAAAGCTCTGAGAAACCAACATTTAGATTGGCTCTTTATCCATTCCACCCGTGTGGAACTTTGAGAGCGCTGAGGAGAGTTCCGTACATGATTACAGAGAGCATGAATTCCAAGAGAATGCGTTATTTCGCTAGAATTTTTAAGTAGAGATATACACATCCATCTCCTCGGTGAGATTGCAGAATTCTAAGTTGAAGAATACAAACTTTAAATTCAGGAAGCAGACACTGTATACATGTAATAATAATATCACCATAATCTCACCGGCTACTTCATCCGCAGGCCACCACCTACTGCTCTAAAAAGAGTAGTTTCCGTTGTTCAGGCAATAGGTAATATCGTTCGTTCACTGGCTCGTTTGGATTAAAATAGGCGACTAAAACACATGATACCTTTGACATTTAACAGTTTAAAATCTCAACCTCTCTGAAATCAGACTTAGAGGCAGGAAAGTTGTGCCTCATGTACACTCTCTTCTTTCATCTAGTTCATTATAAAGCTAAAAAATCACCAAACAACCAAGAATCGTTTCATCTAATAGGACATCTAAAAGTTCAAAATTTACCAACAATGAGATCAGTTTCAACTTCCTCCACGATTAGGCACTCAATTTTCACGCCTGGTTGCCCTCTGGCGAGTAGCACCAGCAGGTTCTTCTTCTTCATTCTCTCTCTCTTCAGTCTTCTCTGCACTGCTTCCTTGGTCATTAGAAGTCTCACTGACCTCTGGCTTCTTCTCTACTCTTGCCTGGACAGTGAAGACGTACCCATAAAGTTAGAACAGATGAAAATGGCCACCATAAAGTTGGTAGTACTTCCTAAAAGCAGCAGAAAAACAAAACAAACAGGGATTATTAGATGAAGGGATACAAAAAACTTACTTGTTTCTTCCCACCAAAAAGGATCTTGAAGACAATGGTGATGATTATCACCAAAACAGAGACAAGAATGCCAATGGTGAGGTTTGGTTGTTTCTCTCCCTCCCCAATCAGATCCTACATGATCACAATGAATTTCAGCAGACATCATAGAATTATTTATCAAGTCAAAGTTGTGATTTGGACATAGTGTAATAACTTACAATAATCTTAGGCTTGTATTCACCCAAGAAAGGAATATCAGCAACCTTGTACAGTATGTCAAAGAACTTCTTCTGCAGAAGATAAAATAAAAACATAAGCTTTGCAGTGACAGATTCAATGAAATCACAAAAGAGAATGAACAATGCAAAATACCTTATAGCCTGCAAGCCCATCAGTACCAGCAGCCACATCTTCAGCCTTCTGTTTTTCCTTTTCAATTTCAAATTTTGGCTGCCATGTGGTGTCTCGAATTGACTCTGCAGCCTCCTCATCCTTAGTAATCAAAATATTATCAAACAATATGCCATCTTGCATTGTCCAAATCTCAATGCCAACCGCAACTATAGGCTCAAAGTTGGGTTTGTCAAGCTCAAAGTAGCTGGGATTTGGAATCTCACGAGGCTTCCAGATACCCTTGTAATTGGGGTTGTCAATAAGAGGAGGATGCCATTTCCCCTTATAAGCTGGATTCCTCTTCATTGGCCTCTTCCATTCACCACAACCAGGGGCTGTTTCACACTTTGGGTTATCAATTTTTGGGGCTTCCCATTCACCATCCTCTTCGTCATCCCAGTCTTCTGGTTTGGTTGCATCAGGATCATCTATTTCCTCAGGCTCATCATCCAACCATCCTTCAGGTTTCACAGCATCTTCATCTTCAATCTCCATTGGTGCATCCTCATCCCAATCATCTGGCTTCACAGAATCAGGATCTGGAATTTTTGCTCTCTCATCCCAGTCTTCAGGTTTCTTGTCATCAGGATCAGGAATTGTCTTGGAAGGGATGAGTGGGGGATCAAAATCTTCAGCTGAGAAAAAATTTGCCTTCTTCTTCTCCTCATCATCAACTAGAATTCTCAGCTCCTTGTCAGGCTTTATAATGGCAGTGTAAACATGAGTTAGCTTGTCAGATGGGACCGAAGGTGGGTTCTTGAGATGGTGCTCAATGTACTCACCACTCTTGGGATTCTTGTGCCTTAAAATAAAGTGCACTTTGTTTGTAGCCCCACATTTGTCAGGCCCAAACATGATAGAATAAGGAGATTCATTGTCAAATTCCTTTGGTTTCCACGCAGCTTCCTGGACACGTAGGTATTTCAAATATGCACCACCACATTCAAGTCCATTCTGTAGGCGAGTTTCAAACTGAAGGACAGTGGTTCCGTCCTTGAGATCCACAGGCTCATCAAGCTCTTTCACAATGGCATACTTTCTTGCTTTCTCACTCACAAGAAGTCCATAATCGTCATGGCCTTCACTTTTCTCACGCTTCCAGACACCTAATACCAAGACCCATATCAATTTGGCAAACTAAAATGTAATCTAAAAGGCAACACTCAATGAAGAAAACCATAGTTACATTCAGGAGGTGGGTGGGTAGATAACATATCAAAACTTTAAATCCACACCAACATATAACAATAGGAAATTGCATTGATCACCATGAATAACACAATTAAAAAACAACTCGGGTTTTATAGGAATAGGAAGGCCAAGAAGAATCAATAACCAAATAAAGTTGTACTTGTATATATCACTCAAGAACACCAGAAACTGCAACTACAACCACATTAGAAAAGTTTGGCATCATGCCAAAATAATGTTGCATTAGGATCACCATGGAAAACAGAAAACAGAAAAAAGAAAAAAGAAAGAGGCCCAATGGAATCATCAAATGTTGGCTTTTATATCACTCAAGAACAATAACAACAAACTCATCAGAAAAGTACAGCATGATGACAACTTCAGAATAAAGACCATGCAGACAACAAAAGTTTGTAAGCAGAAAAAAATTCCAGCCCAGTATGCGCAACGGAGTTTGCCAAAATTTATATACATTAACATATGAATATACAACAGTATCTCAAATGAACCCAACAGCAATCCTAAATTGAAACATAGCTTGCTGACCAAAACGTGCCTCGGACAAATATGTAAGTTTTGAAGAATCCAAAAGATAGACAACATTATGGATAGGAAGAAACAGGAAAATAAACCATCACGGAATTACTCAGACATTGCAATTTCTTAGAACTCCAAATATTTACTCAACAAATTCCCAATCAATGCATATTATTTTCAGCAACTAAACTACTGAAAAGTAAGCTTTAAATCTATAACAAAACATATCAACAACGAGTTAACGTCAGTTCAAGATCCAAATATAGAAACAGTGAAACTCTCACCTTTGTAGTCCTCTTTCTCAGAGACGATCCATCGCCCCTCAAACGTCTCGTCGAAGGTCTCGTGTAAGATCTACACAGAACAAAAAAAGGAACCCTAAGATTCACTTCCAGAGATAAACATTCAATACCGAGCTAGCCATTCAGATAGGAGGCATTACCGTGCCGTCGTCGGCAGCGAAGCAGAGGTGCTGCAGCGACGCGAAAGCTAGCAAAAGGAGCAGAGCGAGACGCTCCATACGCTCTCGGAGGAGAAACCCTAGCAGACGGAGATTCAGAGTGGCGTATTGGATCTGAAAATATGAATCGAATCGGAGAAATGGAAGAGCAAGAATCAGCTTGAATTTTCTGATTTTTCGTAGTGTTATAGATCTGGCGTCGAGTAGTCGTGTCCAATGACATCTCGTGCCACGTGAGATTAGCCAATGAGATTGAGCCACGTAAGCTTGTCCAACAACTTCGTGCTTGTACGGTATTATAAACCCCAAGAGTCTTGAGTTTGAACCGCTTGATACTCCTTTTGATGGGCTTGACCCAGTCTAACGGGAAAGGTTGGATGTTGGGACACCAAGCGTCCAAGCTGGGAAGCCCATTTATTATTGAGCGAGAAAGGCCCATTTTTGGATTTTTCAAAAAAGAAAGGTATCTTTTTTTTTTAATTTAAAATGAAACCGTGAACGGCAGGATTCGAACCTGCGCGGGCAGAGCCCACATGATTTCTAGTCATGCCCGATAACCACTCCGGCACGTCCACTTGATAGGCATTTAACTTCAAATGACACCATTTAAACAATGTTATATATATATATATATATATATTTTATCTATGTTTTTATTAACAATCTATTTATTATATTACCATTTTCCAAATTTTTGATAGCCAAAACTAAAAATTAAGAAGAAATAAAATGATAATATCATATTGTATATAACCTTTAAACTTAAAAGGAAAAATCTTTAAAATTATTATCCTATACAATCATACCATACGCAATGTTTGTTGCACAATAATTTTTAGAATCTTTTGACGTATTTAAACTTGCAAAATATAGTCCAATGGTGCAAGTTGTGCGAGTTTGTCTTGGATTGTAGCTCCCTTTCTTGCTTAGTGTGTCATTCTTCTACTTTGTATATTTAATCTTTATAGTAATAAGAGATTATTACCACTTCTCATGTAACTTATGAAAAAAAGTATTAAAAATAATAAATGTTTTATCAATTACTTAAATGATTTGGTAACAAATTTCTTGTATTAAAAATAAATTATTTTAAATTTAAATAATATAATATGTAAATAAAGTAAATTTAAAAATATCAAAAAAATTTCTATCAATTACTTAAATGATTTGGTAACAAATTTCTTGTATTAAAAATAAATTATTTTAAATTCAAATAATATAATATGTAAATAAAGTAAATTTAAAAATATCAAAAAAATTTCTTCTCATTATATAACTTAATATTTAAAATAATAATAATAATAATAATAACAACAAGAAGGTCTTTAACAACTCTATAAGAGGAATGTTACTGTATATTGCTATTTGAGTGTAGCTTGTGCTTGGAGTGAGATTGGCATCATGGCACGAGTGTAATAGTAAATTTAAAAATATCAAAAAAATTTCTTCTCATTATATAACTTAATATTTAAAATAATAATAATAATAATAATAACAACACGAAGATCTTTAACAACTCTATAAGAGGAATGTTACTGTATATATTCTTAATGTTTATCTAGATGCTGAGCAAATGGGCATCAACTTTCTACATTTTGGCTACCATGAAACCTCCCACTGAACGTGGATTTGTGATATTCGACGCAAAATTTCTCACGTCCACAAACAATTGGACGGTCCAAATTAAAGCAATTTGTATACCCTATAAAAAGAGAGATGGCAATCTACTGCCATATTCCCCCTTTAGCACCAAACATATTATTTTTATAATCCTTTCCCCTAACCACTTTAACTAACTTTTTTTATTTGTTTATATTTCCTTTTCCTTTTCTCCTATATATATCCGTTTGCTGTGTCATCTTTTCTCCACTGGGAAAATGACTTGCATCTAGGTCTCACAATCATATATAGGTAAAGCAATGGAATAATTATATATTCTTAGTGGGAGATAAAATGACCAAACACAAGAATAAATGATAGGATAAATTGCATTTATATATTTTGTCCCTGATCTTATATTTAGATTTTAATTGGGTTTGTGTGCTTTTTATCATTTACCCCTCTCAAACAACTAATTCAAGTTCTTAGGTTGACCCCTAATATAAGAAAAAGATAGTAAAGAGATACAAATAGAAATGTTCTCTTTAATTTTTTTACCTCTTTACTTTTTAGCCGTTTCATTCAAGGAGGAAAAAAAAATGATATTGTAACTTTTCAAAAGGCATGGGACTTAATTGACTGAAAAAAAAGGTTGGGTGTCCAATTGACAACTTCATAAAAGGTCGGTGGACATGCAATTCACTAAAAATAATAACATGCGAACGGGGACTACCATTTGTCCTTTTTTTATAAATTTTTTGCATTCCTTTGCTGATCTGTTCTGTTGTGATTATTCCTTAGTGGACGTAAGACATGACGATAAATTATGCTTTTTGACACTTGGTTTTTGACTTTTGAGTTGCAACCTTCCTTTATCATATTTATATAGGTGGAGATGCTCATCAACAAACGCACACATTAATGTGATATTTCTCGTTTCTGTTTCCTTCAGTTCTCTACTCTCATCTCTTTTGTAACGAAACCTGAAATGTCAAGGAAGAAGAAGAAGAAGAAGACTAAAGAAGGGAGAGATATCATCAAGTAGCTAGCCTCTTTTATATATCTTCTTTGAGGTAGAAGATAAATATGAAGGGGGAGCAAACTAACGGCAAGTCAAAATGGCAAAGGGAAGGTCACGCCTTTCTTCCAGATGTTTATTTCGTGTGTTTGTTCTGATCGGTGTAACGTTTTCTAGGGGACAAGAATTAAGAAAATAAAAGGAAGGGTACGTATATATATAGTTGTTTGAGCTGTTCTAATTTTCTGTTCCTTCTTTGTTTGTTGGATGATTAAAATGTTCCTGCAATATTTATAGATATATAGTGAAGGATTTACTTGTGGGAATGGCTACTTTTCAATCTAAGTTAGAGCGTTTAGCTTTGTTTTTAAGATGGTCAGGCTAGATTTCTTTTCCTTTTTCAACGAAAATTTGTCAAGACCCCTACCTTGAATACATCTTTGTCTTATCTTTTTTCATGGAAAATTTGTTAGGACCCCTACCTAGAATACATGTTTGTTTTAATGAAGGCATCTCACTCCCCTGGCAAAGATTTTAATATCTATGCCTCCAAGGGATTTTAAAATTTTAAACCTTGAAATGAGTAGTGAGGGATTTCAGAAAAGAAATAGAAATTATCATTATCTTATGAAGTTAATGAAAATACAGAACGTACAATCACAACCGTAAGATGAGTGTGACACAATATCCAAGCAGAGGTGCATTTCGCACAATCAACACCATATGGCAATCTTATGCAAGTCATCTGTTCTTAGTTCACTCGGATTAGCAGTGAACCTAGATGTGCACTCAATGAATCCCGAAAATGTGCTTTGTGAAAAATTCACCTCTAGCATCAAATTCAAAGACACTCTGCAGGAGAGATTCATAAGATGAGGAGAAGAGGAAAGCATATGATACCCTTGTCACACCATGCAGTCAAAGATTGAATAGTCATGCAAATCTTGCTTCTCAACATTTAGTATAAATAAGCCTCGGGAAAATTTTGAATTGCAAAACTATATGTATCCTGTTCTCTGAAGGGGAATGCTTATAATCTGTCACATAACTGATCAAAATAATCATACTACCTACGTGTTTCAGTAATTCTTCGTCATTATCTTCTCTACCGCAAGTGCTTCTTCACTAATAAACTATTTGATGTCTAGACGCTTTTTCATGCTTTCATACACCAAATATGTAATGCTTGCAGCTGGGACAACCTTGAGAAGATTAGGAAATATTCCTTTGTAGAAACCTCTATAACCTTCATTCCGAAGGGTTCTCCAAAATACATCAGACATTCCTTTGTAAGCATCCGTAGTATTTGAACTTTGAGCTTGTAGTCTGATAAAAAAGAAAAAGGATCAGCTTTAACAGGATCAAACAGAAGAAAAATGAACAATTTGGTTGAAACTAAAAATACCCAATAGCAGAAATTGAGGAACCATTTCGCATGAGCATCAGACCTTGTTCTAATAACCTGCAGGGGATAGACACAGGTGGCTCCAAGTGCTCCAGATATTGTCCCACAACCAAGTTGAACGAGAGGGCCAGGTTCAGCTGAACAATAAGATTTCTCAGAAAGCAATTTGAATGAGATGTTATGCAAGAACCTCGGTAGAATAACAAAAGGAAAAACATAGAAGCACAAAATTTTAAACACAAACAAGCACAAAATTTTAAACACAAACAAGCACAAATAAGCCTTACCACTATCGTGAAGAATATATGTCTTTGACAAATCTTTCAATGTCTCATAAGCAGCAAGCTCAATGCCGGCATAAGGAATAATCCCAAGAAGAGATGGCACAAGGCCTTTATAGAATGCTCGAGTTCCCTCATGAACCCATATATCCTTTGTTAGTTTTCCCAAGTTTGGAGCCCTTCCACCGTCAGAAGCACTAGTCTGCAACCGAGTCTTTACAAGATCCAGAGGGTAGATAGCAGTTTGTGCCACCGCACCAGCCATACCACCAGCAAAGAGTCTTCCAGCAGGACCGATATCACCTTTCTCATCCCCCATATGATCTCCAATTACATTCTTTAGCATTTCATATGCATAGAACTTGATGGCACTTTCAGGTGCCACCTTCACAACATTTAACCCGTTACCTCGGAAAAACCCCAGGATACCCTCTTCCTTAAATATTTTCTTTATAGCTGGCAAAAAGCTAGCACGTGTAGTCTGAACTTGCAAAACTACCTTCAGACGATCAAGAGGGGCAGTTGCAGTGCGAGAAGCTGCTCCAGATATTCCACCAGCAATAAAATATTTACTTCGCTGAACATGTTTGCTGATGCCTTCTGGAATAACAGCATGTTCTCCAATATCTACAAGGCA